AGAACACAGAGCTCCCGTATGACATCCCAGAGGGCTGACACAAGAGCACTTTTAAGGTAGAATGATTGTGCTCTGTTTGCAGTGTCAGCCATGAAGAGGTATTTGGTTTAAGAACATGACAGGGAAAGGGCCTTTGTTTCCTGCAAAGCATCACTCCTGCATCACTAGCACTGGGGAGGTGCTGAGATAAGGCAAGTTAGCCTGTGTGCAAGATGCAATCTTGTCTTTTCTATAAAGACACTGGAATTTCATGTAAATAATAAACAGAAAATTATTTAAGCTTTAGAAAATTAAATAACCATCATAACTGAAGGCATTAACAAGAAAGGAGCGTGCAGTTTGAAATAACTGCCTTTTATTACCCATTTGTAGCTCAGCCTAGCACAATACACGAATTTATTACAACTAAGAGATTATCAAAGTAATATATATCAAAGTAACGCTCCATCCCATGCCCTCGGCAGCACTCCCATGGCAGCCAACATGCTCTCTTCACCAGGTTCATTCTTTACACTTGGTTCCTCATTTGCTTATCAGTTATTATTAAAGTAAAAAATAACAACACAGCTCTAAGTGGTGGAAACCTGTTAACCATACCTCAGCTCACACTTGACCACAGATTCCCTGGACACTGGGTAGAGGAAGAAGAGATGAAGGACTGACATTAACATACTACTGGCATCTTAAAGAACAGATAATAATATTAAGAATATAATGAATTTCTGCTTTGCTGAATACAGCATTCCTTACTGGTGGGTCTAGAAATTCCATGTCTTGTAAGTGTGCAAAAAGTGCTACAAGTAGCTTTTTTACAGCTATGATAGATTTTTTTCAGCAACAACATGTGCTTTGAACTCTGCTGGAGGGCTCTCTAATATTTACAGGCAAGAAGATGACCTGAATAATTTTGTCCTTTCTGGTACCATACAAGGGAACATCTTATATCCAGGAATTTGGATACAGCTGGTTTAGGAAACATATCAAAAAATGGGTTTGTTGATTCAGGTCAAGCTCTGTCACTACTTTCAGAAGGACTTTGGATATCATGTTCAGATAAAGCACCGGGAAGGCTTGGATCTTCTCCAGTCTTCTGTTGAGAGAATAATAATCAAGACATCACCCTCGGCTGACAAATGAAACAGGGAACAGATTGCTGTCAGCATAAGAGGCAGCTCCCCTGACAGGTACAGGACTAGATTTATCTCACAGAGATGCAGGATGTCTGGTTAGCAGAAACACTTAAGTCACACTTTCCAGCAGCACAGTGCCATGAGAAATGACACTCGCGTAACTAATTGGGGTGATAGCTTAGGGGTCTCCTGAGCATAAGGACTTCACCTTGAACTCAACAGATAGCTGAAGCAGACTGATAGCTATCTCCCCCTGGGCTCTAAGGAACTTGTATTGCCTCTTTTCCACAATCATTCTGCGTCAGAAGGAGACTTTCCTGCTTCTGGTTCAAGCAGGGAGCAAACAGACTGCTCTGAAAAGCTTCTAACTGTTCAAGCAGTAAGATGGAGGAAGCCCAGTTCACTTCATAAAGACATGGAGTGGTCACAGATACAGAATGCTGTCCTGGTCTACAGGTGGCAGCTGTGAAAATTTCCAAAAAGGTCCAGGGAAAGGAGGTGAAAAAACTTATGGAAAAAAAGAGCAGGACTCTTGAGCGATTCATTAAAAAGCTTACTTAAGCCTTGAAGAGCAGAGAGAGAGAACCTGAATGTCATTCTTGAACACACTCATAGGTGTCCTTCCGAGCCACCTGCGTGTCTCCATGATGGAAGACTGACTTGCTGCTTGATGCTACACTCAATTCCTGCCTGCCAGTTTAGTTCCCCCACTGAAATGAAATGAAAAATATCTCCCAATGTTGGTGCAAGTTTTTGTGACTTCTTCTATTGCTACCTCCAGTAGTTCAGATCTGGTGACCTACTAGTCTATCTAGGGACAAAGAAGAGAGAATACAGCCTCTTTTATCCTAGGCATGGAGAGTGATAAAGCCCACGCTTCCTGTGCAGGAACTGCTGGACAAGAAAGTTCAAGCACAAGAAGTTCACACATAGCCACAGCAGACTGCATGAGTACTCACAGTTCGGCAAGTGGAAGTCTCCGAAATGCAGTGGGAAAGCGCTGCTAAACTTGGCACGAAAGCTGCAAATGAAACGACTACAGAACCCATATCCAGCATGCTCAACTGTTGAGTTGTTAATGAAAGAGGAAGAAGGGAAACAGAGTAAGAGTAATATAGGAAGAGGCTGAGGTTTCCACTGGTGTCTCTTACCTAAGGAAATCACTGACCATGTAAGAGAAAAACCAAAACTTTTGATTTAGTGACTTGCCCAGCAGAAAACCAAAGGCAGGTGCTGGATGTAACAGACAATACTGGTCAAACTGTTTCTCTCTGCACAGCGCTCTGTAAACAGAGTCGCCACTGTTGAGTTCTAACCTCTTGTCATGCAGCAACACTGAGTCAACAATCCGCTGTCATGGCTTAATGCTTTTGATGTTTACTTTGTTCTTTCTATAGTTCAAAAGAAAGCACTAATGCACCAGTCCTCTTACCAAATACAATCTTAATCCCAGAATCCCGAGCCTTTTGCTGTTGGCCAGTTAAGTCTGTTAAGACGAAAGGATTTGATCAAGCTTTACATAACAACACAGAAGTTAAATCCAGCAAAGAGAGTTCTTTTTATCTGTACTGCTCAGACGGCTAAGAGGGGGAAACAAGAGAGGGAGATAAAAAAAAGGTAATGAACTTGGCTATGTAAAACAAAATAAGGAATTCAATTATTTCTCTTATTGCCACTTTGTCTTTTCAGTGAGAGTCTTGTAAAGACTCAGATTTATTCTCCAATAAAGTCTCAGAGTGTGAAGGCTATAACTTTCCCCTAGTCCAGAAGAAATGTGGCACCTGCTGGGCTTTTTTGCAAATCTAAGAAATGTTTCTTTTTCATTTTTTTCCATCCCTACTGTGTATTTATGATGCCAAAATATAGCTCATTTATTAGATACTTGCTTGGTACTCGGTAGAGCTGGGCTCAAGTCTTTGTTTTGCCATTCCTGTCCTTTGTGAGCTTAGCCCAACCCATCATGTTTCAGTGTGTTACAGCTCCCTGTCTCTGAAACCAGTTACCAGTATGCCAGTGTTATCCTATGACATGTGAATGTATAATCATCCAACAAGTATGTGCTAAACCAGTCCATATGTAAAGATAGGTAGCAAAATAAAGTCAGAACAACTATTTTAGATGGAAAGATTAACATACTTTCTAGAACATTAATTACATTTTCACATAACATTTCTATGCAGGAAAGGGTTATGATAGTACTCATCCTGTACCTAAGCCACACAGAATTGAAGCTGTTCCCTAACAAAGGTCTCAAATCATGTTTCAACTTCCCTTTATGCTAATATCTCAATTTCATGCTAGTACTATCACAATCATCCAAAATCTTATGACAGTAACTGCAAGTTCCATGTCTCTCAACTGGAGAGACACCAGGCACAGCTCTGCCCCAGGGACAGTGCACGAAGCAAGGACCACCTGCTGGTACCTAAACCTGCACTGCTCAGCTACTGCACAAGAAATGAGATGCATTAGAAGTAATCATGTAAAACTGCTGAAAGACTGAAATCACAGTAGCCTAAAGGGTTTTGCACTCTAAGGAAAACAATCCTACTGCTGACTAGTTTGGAAATATTGCCTATTGGATATTGTGTTTCCTATGCAAGACAATTCTACATAACAAAGTAAGAAATAATTAGAGACAAGGAAAGGTAGAATGAGACACAGAAAAATTAATTTATTCACCTCGCTGACATTTAATATCCTATGTTAAATAGATTTTCCTATAATTCTGAAAATTAAAATGGCACCCTTTATTAGAGTTGTGTCCTACTATTAGAAGAAAAGAAAACTGTGGTGAAGTTAAACACCGAAACACTTTTAAGAAACACTGACTCCATCATGGCAAGTATATCTTGCTTTTGCTGTTTTGGTTTTTTTAGTAGCCCACAAGCACCAGCTGAAATTGAGCTCCTGTGTTAAACAGGCACATATGAGGGAGGGAACATTCTTTGTGACCTACAGCCACGATAGAAACACGGGATCCAAGAAACTCCGTATAGGAACACATTACTTCACAGGTAAGATCTGGAAGACAGCCATTGTGAACATAGAGAATCTTCCAGGTTCTGTGTAGACAGAAGTCTCTACCACCAGAAACAAATGACTGGATTACAGGAGGACAGAAATATCCAAGTTACACTTGACACAGTTCATTGCTCTAATGAAGATGAGCATGTTGTTTCCACTACCCTGTAATAGCACACATCCCATGCAACCACTTGTTAAACTAGAGAATTTCCTAGAGAGTTTCTGAAGTCTCATTTCCTTGTATTTTCAGAAGAATGAGCAACAATGTCCTCAAATTCCCACCACAACAATTATTCCCTCGCCCCTGCAAGGAGAGGCTTGATCACAGAGGAAGAGGTGAGGTGAGCCTTGGAAAAAAGTAGTTATCTGAAGCAGTACTTCTTCCATTCATGTTCAATTTGAAATGTATTGAGTAAGAGCCCCTGGTCTTTATTAGAAATTAATGCAGGAGTTGCAAAGTCTGGTTTGTGTAACACAGAAGGCTGGTTTGTGTGCAGTGGATCACAGACCTCAATGCTAACATTTTAAGCGATGCATTTACCAGCTCTGCTGAGGACAGTGACACTCACTACTGCTACCTATGCCAAAAGGAGTACCTGGGAAAAAACTGAGACTGAAACACTTGGTCCCTGTGATTACTTGGGTGACTTTTTCAATTCAAGGATGACAGTGGTAGGAGATGGAGAAGTAATACCCTGTTCCCATCTCAACAGTTTTGTCAGACAAATAACATACCAGTATACCAAGAACTGCACTGTCATACATGCATTCTCACATTGACTTTTTCACTGAATTATACCAATATCCCTTAATATTAACCAAGAAATTTTGTTATTTAAATACCTTCTAGATGAAAGTGTTCATCACCAATAGTGTCTCTGTAGCCTTCCTCAGATAAATCCTGTTTAAAAAAAAAAAGAAAGTCAATGACAAATATACTACATACAAAGTGTTGAGGTATTAAGAATATGTATTTATTATTGCCAGGATTAATTTAAAACACTAAGGAGAGCACAGAAAGTGCTCTTTTCTTTTCCAGGAAAGAAGTCAATCACTTTATTAGTGGTAGACAATGCATTTGATGCTATTTTACAATGCTCTGAACATACTGCAGGACAGAAATGTAATGGAGATTAATAGATTGTACAGGGGAAAGAAAAAAGAAGTGTTCATATTCAAATCCTTTTATGAAGTAGATTAATATTTAGCATTTCAACATTCTGTCAATCAAGCAAGAAAAAAAAAAGCCAAATGGAAACGATAAAGGAGAAATAAGCCCTTCACTATCCACAGAGGAATGTTATCACTTGGTTCCACCAACAAACAGAAAACTTTCGTATGCCAGAGGTCACCCAAGAAAAGCAGATACCAGACTCTGAAGAGCTGCCTGATCCTTCAGTCCCAGAACTAATGACATTTTGTCAGCCCCAGTACGTCTAGAGTAATACAGAAGCAGATGCCATAGATATGCAGACGATCTTATCTCAGACCCAAAAAACGTTTCGCTAATGGTGCTGAAGTAGTAATAAAGGGCATCAGTGGGATTTGGAGCTAATCCCACTTACAGTCCCACTTCTTACAAATGAAGAGCATTCTTACTCACACATTAGCAGACCCTTCCCACTCCCAGCCAAACCACAAGCAATGACAATCATCCTCGCCTTCTGCCTCTCCGGTCATTCCCAAGGCTCCAGCATCCCCGAAACATCACCGACCTCACACCAGTCTGGCTCCCTAGATTTTCCACAGCCACTCTCTGCTGTTGATAACTAGTTACAGTGATGAAGCAGGAGATGGTCCTACAAAGCAGACGTGCTGCACTCCTGGCCCTTTTAACTTCACCTGGGAGTTGGCAGAACGGAGCTCTTTGCACAAGATAAGGGAATAACCTGTGAAAATTGATGTCTGGTTGTATTCCTTAGCTTTATTGTTAAGCAATTTTATCATGATAAAAGCAGGTCACCTCTTTTTCTCTCAAAAAGCTGACAGAGGTTCTTTTCTTCCTTCCACATGCCCAAGTGTTATTCTGTGAGATCAGTTATCAGAAAGCAACTAAGCCACAAAAGCCTATCTTAGGAATTCTTCAGTATCAATTTCTGCAACAGCATTTTAAAAATCATATTTCACAAACACCACTGGATAGCTAGCCCAGAGACACTAAAAATATTGTTCTGTTCACAAGCAGATATCCTGAAATAAAGTTAGAACTCGGGGGCCAAATGGCTCTGAGAAATGCTGGCAACCTGGCTCGAATGCCTGGATTCTGCAAGCACAGTGCCACTACAAAAGCTGTCAGCCTGGATTCAGCTTTCCAAGAAGCAAACCACAAAACCTATTTGGTTTCTTTGAGTTTTTGTTCCAGTAGAAAAAGTATCTTTTTTTGAGCGTGTGTTTGGATTGTGTAATACCGATCATTATGTCAAAAGTTATGGAAAAAAAATGGACGGTGAATAAAAAGTCATTAAATGTTGGCATAACTTATCATACCTCTGCAAGAAGATGGTGTTTCCAGGGCCTTGTAAAAGTTGGTTTTGTTTGATCAGATCCCCCCATGTCATTGTTTTCCATGGAGCTTTGAGAGCACATCTCTGGCTGCTCTCATAGAAGAGACGCAGAGAAGTGACTCCATGGGCATATATGGCACCTCGGCTCTCTCCCACAGTGCTAAATATTTAATGACTGTTATGTTTGGTTGTTTTGATTTTTATACTAAACTCCAAGTTCCTGCTCCCTCCTGCTCTCTTGAAAAAAAAAATCTTTTTTGTTAAACTGACCAGCAAACATGCAACAAGTAGGTATGATCTGAGTTGTGATGCACCTCTGAGGACAATACTACCTAGCTGGTTGCCTTCATCTCTCAAAATTTCAGCAAAGCAAGCAGTGCATCTGAGTATCAAAGGTTGCCTGTTACAATGTCATTAATCTCATCCTCTACAAAACCCACAAGTCATTAGTTTTTAGTATTTTTCAAAAGACATCACTTAAAAATGAGCATACATTTGTTGACATAGAACAAACCATCAAGTAACTCAGTGGAAATGAGTGGAAGACTGAACTATGAAAGAGCAGAGTGAAGCATTAATATTCATTCATTCACTTCCTTATTTTCTCACTTATAATTACATGGGTCTTAAGTAAATATGTTTTATATTCTAGTCTAGTTTCACTCCTTCTCTAGCTCCTAGTTATTTAAGTTAAAGTAGTAACTTAATGCAAGCAAATTTCCTGTAAGTGTTTCTGCCTTAAACCAAATTATTATAAATTACCAAATTCTAGAGAAGTGTTTTTATGATGTTGAACCGTAAGATAACTGTTAAATAGCACACAAATTGACAATCCATCCAGAAACTGATGAGAGTATCGTTTGAACATTTTAGTGACACATTTAAGCAGAATTCCTCAGCTTCCATTCAAACACGCTCCTCTGTGTGTGTGAGATGCTGCCATGTATTATCTTTGATAGATGGGTATCTGCAAAAGCTGTGGGCAACTCTAAGATTTTACAGGAAAAAGAGAAAGGCAAAAAAAGAAACTATATCATCCATTTTATTATCATTAACTCTTCTGTCAAAAGAGTTCAAGAAATTCTAGTGGGAAGCCAACACTACGGCCGGGTAGGAACGCCTAGGCTGCAGTTGTGTATCACTGTCCTGATGCGATGCTTTAAACCACAACGCTGCATTTTCGACCTGGAGCACCGACTCATGAAACAACCAAAACCAGATGTACCCTGTGAAATACTACACAAATGTGGTCAGCGAGCACTTGAAAGAATACAGAAAAGAAACATCTACGCAGAAGGATCATTCCAGCCTGCCACTTGTATAGGCTGCTAAACAGAAACCCATCTGGAGTACATGTCTGTACCTCACTGGGAGTTTTCTAGATCAATACATTGGCTGTCGTTAGCTACCAACACAAATCACACCAAATGCCTACGATTCTGGCTCGAACATCTGCTTCCAAACTCTGCACAGCTGGCTGCCTGTGGCAGGGAGGACCTGGTGTCCCCCACGTCCTGTTCTGATAGGTGCTGCTCTGCTCTGCTTCCATTTAAGAGGGTGGGGGTGGAGAGCAGTGTTAATTAGTGCAACTCCTTCGGAAATGCTGCTTAGTATGTACATGCACCAGGAAGAAAAACACTCTTGAAAAGCTCCCACACCCTAGGGCTGCTATTCAGCTGGTTACAAGTCAGGCAATTGTCACTCACTTTCCAGCTTTGCCATGCAGTCAGACTCTGATGAATTCTAACTCACTGGGAATTTTATTCTTTTAACCCAAACCTCAGCCCTAACCCGCCTGTGCAGTTTTCTTACTGCTATGGTCTCCAGAGACCAAATGCCAGGCTATCATCTGAGGCTTCCAGCTATTGACTTCCTTTTTCCCAGTCGTCTGACAACACTACCACCCAAACCCCCACCCCTCCTTTTGCCTGCGTCACTTTACTCCTCCCACGCCTTTATTGCCTCCCTTTCTGCTTGTGCACTGAGGTTAAGCTCCTTGGCTTCACCTTCACAGAGCCACAGGATTGCAGAGTGGTCGAGGTGGGAAGGGACCTCTGGAGATCACCCAGGCCAACCCCCTGTTGGAGCAGGATCTCCCAGAGAAGATCACCCAGGAACACATCCAGGAGGGTTTGAAGGTCTCCAGGGAAGGAGACTCCACAGTCTCACTGGGCAGCCTGTTAAATACAGGCTAACACGCTGTCAAAGACAGTTTTGTTTCTGGTGTAAGCTGAGAGAGCTCCATCCATACATGTATTAGATATATGAAAGGATAACCTTTGATTTAGGGAGGTTATCATGATAACAAGCAGATTTTTAACGTCTGAAGCCCCCTACTCCCTGTATTCCATCACAGTCAATACTGTGTTAATTAACATTTTTCTAAAAGGTGTTGCTCTTCTCAAGTAGAAACAAGTTACTTCACTTCTCCTCCTTCAAACAACTCAGTAAAATCCTTTGATTTAGTCTTATGATACTCAATTTTTCACTTTTTTGGCAGAAAATATGTACAGAATTCCTGTTTTAGTTAAGTTCTTACCAAGGTATCATATCCACCACTTTCCCCAAGCAAAACACAGCAAAAAGACAAACTGTTAAGCAAGAAAACTTTCCTCCCTATTTTTAACCATCTGTCTGAATCATGCCTTTTTTCCTCCTTTTATTCTCATATTGATGCAATACAGTTCCAGTACTTCTGGAAAGAGCAAACTTAAAGAAATGCATTTCACAACAGTTCCGCAAGGGATAAACTGTGTGGTAACTCTAACATCTTGCGGGGTAGATTTTATAACTGTTTCAAAGTGGCTGCCAACAGGAACACCTTATCACCTATGCACAAACTTCCATCCTTCATGTAGGCAAAAAACAATCACAAGAAACAGAGTTTGAAGAGAATGAGGATGCCCTTCGTCCTTCACCCCAACGACTGAGGGCTCTGCCAGCTGCCCCACTGCTGTTCTGAACGCTCCTGTCTCACTTGCAGGAAACCAGTTTCCCAAATAAGTCTGATTTTCATATAGTGAGTCCTCAGCAGATTTTGAAAACCAAATCTCCTGAAGCTGCTTCAGGAAACACATCCAGACCCCCAAACTGTCATTATTAGTGTTTTACTTTATTTTTAATCTTGCCCAGACTTGCAGAGGAAGAGGTAAATGACTTTTTTGAAAAACAGTTTATGGGAGGAACCTCATTCCTCTTTGAGTATCTGAAACTTCCCATGGACGACAAACATAGCCATGTGTAACTACGCCCTACTCAAGCCCAGCCTTCACTCCTAGGAAACCTATTCACACCTCAAAAACCAGTATCATTTATTTTAGGTTAATGCAAGTGAAAGCAGATATTCAGGTGTATGAAGTGATCATAATTTTTTTACAAATACAACTTTGCAGCCAGG